CTTGACTCTGATTAGATCTTCCAGCTCCAGATCCCACTGACTGAGTTTGTTTACCTCTTATTTGATTTGATCCTCTAGCGGAGGATGCCACTGACTCTGATCTAACTTGGGGTCGAAAACCAGCATCTTTGCCCCTTTTTGATGGTGCGAAACTCGAAGAAGCACCCGTTCTTTTGACTATCTGAGCTCTCGAATTTTCAAACCTCTCGTTCTGAGCTATTTCCAGAGCCTTGGCACGGTTGACTACCTCTTGAAACGAGGATAAATTCAAGACAATTAACATTTCCTTCAACCGAGGATGTAACCCCTCTACAAACCACTCACAAGTATCATTCTCCGTAGGAATTAACTCGGCAGCAAAGCAGCTCAACTTATTGAATTCACACTTGTACTCCTATACAGTGTGATTCCATTGCTTCAAATTCATGAACTCTTGCTTCATTTGACGAACAAATTGATCTCCAATGTACTTATGCTTGAATTCTTCTAAAAATAATGACCAAGTTACTTGGGCATTAGATATCCTCAATGTAACACTGGTCCACCAGATCCATGCTTGTCCTCTCAACAAGGAAATTACTCCATCCAACTTCCCAGTATCGGAACAATGAAATCTTGTAAGCATGACCTTCACGTCATTAAGCTAAAGGTCCGCAGTAACAGGACCTTCATTGGCTTCCCCTATAAACTCTAGAGCTCCTAATCCCTTCAACTCTTTCGCAACATTCATTTTTGGAGTTGAAGTAACAGGAGGTTGGAAACGCGTCAATACCACGTCTAACGTTCTAAAGAATACATCTTGATTATTTACAGGCATTCCAGAAGATGTATGTTCTTCACTCTGCCTGGCCAGGGCAGGTGAATTAATACTTTCAGCGGGTCTATCATCTCCCACTTCATTCCTAGAACTACCTCATCCGAACATCTATAAAAATACAACCATATAATTCTATTAGCAAAACAACATACTTACTATTCCATTAGATCAGAAGTTTCCACTATTTTGTTGGTATGTATACATTATCAGACACTCTAGACTCTGGTTTATGCCAAGAATCGACTAAATAGTGGCTCTGATACCATTAAATGTAACACCCCAAACTCATATTCGACCCGAATACAAGTCCGAGATGACACATTGACTTTTCAAACTTTGATTCTTAAAGAAAAACCTCGGGAATTTAAAACATTATTAAAACAAAATACTTTAATGTACATAAAAGAGACCACTTAATACAAAATTGATCAGAGCACTCGTAATTAACTACTTATTACATACCAACACTTATTACACAACAAAATACATACTTTGTCAATTACTTCTGATCTGATTTCTTAGTAATGTTGTTGTCCGTGCCACTGTTATTCTGAATCTTCTTATTTCTTGGTACCTACGTGTAAATCACTTACACGCTAAGTCATAGACTTAGTGAGGCAATAAATGAATATGCATTCTTACCATTTCCTTCATGACATTTCAATATGCATGTATATAGTACACAATAACATATATAATCATATCATGCATGTATAAAACTTACCTTCTTGTACCACTTTCACTTTACTTTGTATTTCAATTGCCGATGTATATTATTGAGAATAGAGGTATGTGAGTACATAGAGGTTGTGCACTAATGATGTCACCACAACTCGTATCAATTCACTCATGGGGCACCGAACCTTAGTTCAGTATTCGTCCCGAATGACTATCATATATGTCCCGTAGGACCACTACATCCCGAATAACTATTATACCCTCGACTCTTGGCATGCCAATTACACCTATAGCTCTCATATCGTATACTATGAGCATTATTCTTATATTTCATATGTTCATGTACTCATGTCATTTCTCTTGTGATCATGTAGTTCATGTCATTTCTCTTGTGATCATGTAGCTCATGTCATTTCTCTTGTGATCATGTAGCTCATGTCATTTCTCTTGTGATCATGTAGCTCATGTCATGTTCTCATATCACATATCATATCACATGTGTATTTGAATCTATTCATATATATACATCATTTATCCAATCACATGGACATATATATGTCTTATGCATGTATTACAATAATTATCATGTATGCATGTTCACAGCTATTATACTATGAAAATCAATATAGGAATTAGACTTATCACAAGTCTTATTCCATTATACTATACATATAGTATGCACTCACCTTAGCTTTGCTTTGATTTGATTCGATTCTAATCCTTTGATCGTTCCGGAATAAGCTTAATTTTAGTATCTACATAATCACACATGGATCTATATCAGTATTATAGCTAATATACTCTAATGGTTTAATCTTTAGATTAAGATAAATGCTAATTTCCTCTTTTAATGAAGGTATGCATCGATGCACTACTTGTGCATCGGTACATAAATTGCATTCGATGTTTTATTATTAATAAGATGCATCGATGCATGCCTTATGCATCGATGCACTAATTGCATTCGATCTTTTTATTTTAAAAGAGTGCATCGATGCACTACCTGTGCATCGATATACCTTCAAACACTTTCTGGGTTTTAACCTTGATGCATCGATGCACTATGAATATGCATCGATGCACTTTGCCCAGAATCCTCTTTTTGAACCCGAAAATTAATTCATTTTGGATTAAATCCTTCATGTTTAATCATCTTTTTCATTCTTAACTATAGTACACATCCTTAAACCAATTTATACTCATTTATTTCATCTTAAACCTCCAATTCTATCATTCATATGAAATTCAAGAATTACATCAATAATTCAACATGTTTGAATTCCACTTTTAACACTTCGTATATCTTAACTAGATTGATGACAAGTCAAATTTAACTTTCAATTCTAGTTATGAACTCAATTCCAAGATTTCATTTAAGAACTTCAAATCTTAAATCTCTCCTAACTCCATCATCCTTTGATGTTAAGATAACTTAAGCTTTCTTTAAGCTTAGTTATCATCTAATAATCAAAACCCAATATTAAATTTAACAAGAAACTCAATAATCAGAAATCTTACCTTTTCTTTGGTTCACACGCACAAGGAAGAAAGAAGAAGAAGAGAACTCTGGAAGCCTTGGGTGTTTTCTCCCCTTCCACCCACGTGTATCCTTATATTTATACTTATCCTTTCTTTAATTATTTTTCCTTGCAATTACTCTATTGTCCTTTCATTCATTCTTCCTTTCAATTCCATCATACACAATAATTTACATATAAATCTTTATACTATTCATTCATTTTATTCTAACCACCAAATTCTGAGACTTTACAATTTAGTCACTAACCCGGTATTGAGGATGTTACATATATTGTTAGAGAACAATGTATTAGACTGACCCACCATGAGCATATATCTTGAATTATTATGTGACATTCATAACATTGCTCATGTTGATGATTATATGTATGATCCTCAGACTTGAGATCAATACTATCCCAACATATATTGTTGTATGTTTTGATGCAGCTAAACAAGCTCCGTAACTGGTTTCTCTATAAAGACTGTTATTGAATATATCTTAATATATGTAGTGGATGTGTATGATTAAGATAGGATTTGTCATTCCTATATAATAGAAATATATCACATGCCACTTGATTGAGTAAGACTATAAACGTATGGCCATACTCGAATAAGTTGAAATGAGATATCATAAACTATTCGTTAATTAAAGTCTACTCTAGATATCAAGAAACAATAGATGGGCTATACAAGTGCGACTATTCCAAGACTTGTGCCTATTCTAGATATAAAGGACATAAGGATGTAATACATAAAAGAGTTAATCACCAAGATGATATGTCGAATCATATTTTCTTGTAACTTAGGTGACAATGATATACTGTTAGATGTCACTCATTGTATGTAATATTAGAATTGTTCTAATAATTATTGCTAACGTTAGAAGAACATACAGGGTCACACCCTAGGATTGAAACGAGCAAAGATTTACAATTTGTTGTACGTTACTAAAATATATATATAGAGTTAATTAAATATATGTTTTAATAATCCCGAATATTTAATTTCAATTAATTAAATATAGATTTAATTAATTTGAAATAATAAAATCCCTAATATGATTAGGGTAACTTGGATATAAAAAGATTATTAAATTCCAATTAATTAAATATAGATTTAATTAATTTGAAATAATAAAACCCTAATATGATTAGGGTAACTTGGCTATAAAAGTGTGTGTTAGGTCTAGCAGCCGTTTTAGAACACACACAAAACCTTCAACCGTTTTTTTTCTCAAAACGGTTTTGGGGAAGAAAATTATTGTTCTCAATCGGGTGAACTGAGTAGAGGCTGAGACGTGATTTCGTAGAGGCTTACGATTCGAACTGATCTACACAACTAGTATTCACTGTTCTCTTGCTGTTTTTCAAGGAACCCGCTGTAAGTATTCACATCTCTTTCTCCTGATTTCAGTTTTTTGTACTTGGATCGCTGGTGAGACCGTCGAGTTTTGTTTCTGCTGCGCCATGGGGTGCTCTGACGGTACCAACAGCTGAAGCTCTAGATTGCATTGCAGTCTCAATGAGGGATCTTAACTTTTCTAGAGCTAAAGCTTCTGATGACTTGACAGCCTCGAGTTCTTGCATAGCTGCTGGTAATCTTCCTCTGTTACGTCTATTTTGGATTTTGTTTTTTGGATTTCTGCCTTGATAGTTTCAATATCTTTGGTGATAAGCATCATCTCTTTCTTTGATGTCTCTGATTCTTCCCTTGATTGTTCAAGGGTGAGGGAAAGGTTTGCCTCGATCGATTTAGCTTTTCTTTCAGCTGCAGTCATTACTTCCAGCTTGGATTTGGATCTCACCAGCTTCAAATTGAGGCTTTTAACTTTCAAATCTGCTTTTTCTTCTGTTTTCTTCAATTTTTATGTTTCTTCTTTAATATGTTTCAGTTCATTTCTTATGATATCCATGGAGGACATATACCGATCATCTTTAATCGAATCCAATTATTTCTTAGATGTCTCCAGTTCTTTCTTGATTAATTCCAAGGAAACTGAAGGTTCCACTCTTTCAACATTATGAAAACTATCATATTGTTGCTCCAAGCAATTATCATCACCTCTCGGAACCACATTGTCTGGTCCCTTGCTTCAGCTCATCTTGTAAGAGACTAATATCAGACAAAGTTGCAGCCAATTTTGTTTCCAACTCTTTTGACTGATCAATCTCTTCAATTATGTCCATCATTTTCTTCTTTGTTTCCTCCATCCGAAGAGAGAACTCACCGGCTTCTTTCACTATTTGGGCTTCGATTTCTTCAGCTTCTTTCAGAGCTTCAATCTGAGCCAACTCAACTAGCACATGTTATTCATTAGCTGCCTCAATTTGTTCCCTAAATGCTTCAACAGAGGCACCATTAGACCTCATTCTAGAGCTTGAATCTTCAAATTCCTTCTTTGCTCTTGCTTTCTCTTCCATAACAGATGCCATATCGAGCTTAAGTTCACTCAATTCTTGTTTCACCAATTCCAATTCTCTCATCACTTCTTCATACTGATAATTTTCAATACTCCTGTCTTTGACAACCATTACTTTGTTTTCAAGGTACCCATTTTTCCTTGAAGACTCAACATCTCCCACCCTTGTAACACCCTCAACCCGTATCCGACCCGGATCCGAGTCCGAGGTATCACATTGACTTTTCAAAACTTTTTCTTGTACAAAATTAGTGAATAATTTAAAACTTTTATAACATATAACTTATTCAAAACGTTTATAAAACTATTCAGAGCTTATACAATACATTATTTTGAATACATGCCAACTAAAACTTTAGTTGTTAGCATACATATTATTCATCTTTCTTCTGATCTGACCTTCGGTAAGGGGAATTGACCTGTCTTGCTCCACATTGCTCTTTACTCTTCTCACTTCTATAACCTACGTGTGAAACAATCACACGCTAAGTCTATGACTTAGTGAGGCAATAAACATATAATGTAAACATTTACTAGTAATCATTTCTTACAACTCATATACTGTTATTATCATTCATATATCTTATCTCCTATTCCTATGATCTTTTATGTCCATATTATATATCTGATAGACTTGTTATTATATCATCATGTCAATCAATTATACTCATTCACATATACCTTAACAGGTACTCACTTATACCATATAACATATATATATATATATATATATATATATATATATATATATATATATATATATATATATATCATGTCATGTAAAACATATATCCTATCGTAAATCAAACACACAAGCAACTATATCATCATCTTCATTCTTATCACTATCATTGATTCCTTTTATCGTATAATCTTATAATTACCATTTGTAGCATCATATATCACACATAACCTTTCATAAGGAAAAAACATATCATCATATCCAGTTTATTAATATTATCTCTTTATTAGCCCATGATACACATGTGAGAACTATAGATATGTGAGTCTATTGAGGTTGTGCACCACAGCTCGTATAAATGTCCCGAAGGACCTATCCAGAGGTCTCAAAGACCCCGGTAACTATCCATAGGTCATAAAGAACCTCGGCAACTGTCCATAGGTCCCGACGAACCTAGGTAAATTGTCCATAGGTCCAGAAGAACCTAGGTAAATTGTCCATAGGTCTCAAAGAACCTAGGTAAACTGTCCATATGTCTCGAAAGACATAGGTAAACCCTCGACTCTTGGCATGCCAACTATACCCCTAGCTCTCATATCACATAACATGGGCATTATCATTTATAACATTTCATATCACTTGTTATTTCTCTTCTGTCACATACCACATATATGTGTAACCATATATCTCATATCATATCACATGTATCACAAGTGCATGTATTCACGTAGATCGTTCCATATGACTTATATCATTTCTCATTTGTTCATGTAACTCGCATGTCATATCATGTAACATATAACACATATACCCATAACTTCATATCACATACTTATATCAATTCACACTTAGTCACATGGGTCATTTCTCATAACATATATATTCTCATATAACCTATGACTTATTATCAAGTACTCAATTAATGTTCCTATATGGTTCCATATTTATCATATAACCTATGAGCTATTCTTATATTACCCTATATCAACCATACTTTGTTTATCTCACTTTTCATATCATTCATTTATCACATATATGTCACTTTGCTTATAACACTTATCTGGTTTTCATATGACGTGTAAATCATTGTCATCTCTTGTTCTCATATAATTCCATATAGTCACTTATCACTTATCACATAGTTTACATCCTATGATCATAGAATCATATCAATAACACATATACTCATGCACACATATAAATCATAAGAAACACATACCTCTATGAATTCATGCATTTTACTATTGGAAATAGACTTATCATAAGTCTTATTTTCCATTTAACATCATATACTAAATAATGTGCACTCACTTTGGCCTCACTAAGTTTCAATCCACTTTATGATTTCCTCTCTTCCGATCGAATCTTAACTTGATACACAACCTGAAACTTGTTCATGTTCGATATCTACATAATTATACATTGATACATATCAGTATCCCATTGTTATAATCTATTCTATCATTTCTTAGACCAGAAGAAATGTATATTTCAATTTCCCCTTGAAGTGCATCGATGCATGCTACAGTGAATCGATACATTCTTTAACATGTGCATCGATGCACTACCCATGCATCGATACACAAATTACCTTCGATGTTTTCATTTTAAAGGGATGCATCGATGCACTCCTTATGCATCGATGCACCATTTGCATTCGATGTTTCTTCTTTAAAGAATGCATCGATGCACATTCAATGTGCATCGATACACCTTGCCCAGAATTTGCATTTTAAGCCCGAAAATCCATTTAATTCAACTCAAATGCTTCACATTTCATCCCCTTTCATATTCGTTACTTACATATACATATTTGCCCTCATTTCTACTCAATAATCACTTCTTTAACCTCTATATCCTATTTTTCTTAAGAAATTCAAGAATCATACCCAAATTTTAACATGTTACAAATCCAATTCTAATACTTCATACATGTTAATTAGATTGATGACAAGTCAAATTCACTCTAAAACCTTATTAAAGAACCTTCTTTCAAGATTTCACTTATTTCTCTCTTTTCTTTAATCCCCTCTATTCTCTTCATCTTATTGTTTCAAGATAATTTAAGCTCTTCTTATGCTTAATTATCACCTAATAATCAAAACTCAACCTTAAATTTCAGCTAATAATCCACAAATAAAGAAACTCACCTTTGCCTAGCTTGAGCACGTTGGAGAAGAAGAAAGCAAGTGAAGAAGAAGAGAGTTTTCATCTTCATATCCCCCAAGTGTTAATCTCCTAATGAAGAGGAGAAAATATCTTTCCTTGTCAATTGACTATTTTACCCTTTACTTCATTTAATAATTACCAATAACTTTTATGATTTATTTCCAAATAAATCATTGAACTAATCCATGGTTCTACTCTAGTCACCAAATTCTGAAACTTTACAATTTGATCACTAACCCGGTATTGAGGATGTTACAACCCTTGACTTAGCCTTAAAATCTGATTCATTCACCATTGAAGCATTATCCTTGATCGTTTCCCTTGAAACGGATAGCTCAAATTGTGCCACAGCCTTCGATTCTACAGTGTTTCTACTCTCTATGTATCTATTCATGCTTATTCTTTCCATGTGAAGCTCTTTTACCCTTGAAAAAGGCTTCTTAACGAAAGTGACCCCCCACAATGACAATTTTGTCAGTCAAATGGAAAAACTATAAAATTCCAATAATTGCAAATAAACAAAAGGGTTTTCACTTTTCAAAGTGGTAGCAAAAATTATACCTCTGGAAAATCCTCCCTGGTTTTTCTCAATGAAAAATTTTCCAGCATGAATCATCTCTCCATACACATTAACAGCAGCTGTAACTGACCCAATTCTTCTTTCATCTTCATACTTTTCCCAATCCATTTTTTAATAGTTCCATTGACAAAACCAAATCAAAAAGTTTGAACATATTCTGTATGTGTATTTATATTCATGTAAAAGCTTGGAATTCCCATAAACCAAAAACGAAACTACACATTGGCAAATTCCCATGAACAATAAACAAGTTTAAAAGAAAAGGTAAACTGAAACTGGAATAGGAAGTTAAAAGCTGAGGAAGAAAGGAGAACATACCAGTAAACTGTGAAGTTGGAAAATAGAGAGATGGTGGTGCGTGGAAATTAAGAGCGGAAATGGAAGAATGAAGAGTTTATAATTACAAAAGTCGTTAAGTACTAAAAATGGTAAATACCAAGGAAATGGAATAAAAAATAAAACGACAGCAGTAACATCAAATAAAAATAGGAGTTAAATAATATTTTTACCCGAAATTTTATAATGTTATCACTTTAGTATTTGTTGAATAATCGGGTAAAGAAAAACGAAATAATACAAGAATTTTAATGAGGTTCAGCAATGTGCTTACGTCCTCGGTGCCTAGGCGGCGCTAGAAGTTTTATTCAATGTCTCATAGGTTTAGGTTACATCTCTATTTATAATAAATAAACTCTGGTACAAATTTACAAATATAACCTTGTATCGTACCGCGAGACTCTGCTCCATCCTCTGTCATCTTTACCGATATATTTATGAGTCATACCTAACAAATCTACACCTTGGCAAATATCCTACCCCTTAGGAAACATTCAATGTAGGTTGGGTTACCTTACTTCTTTAACAACTCGAAACATTTAACAAGTCCAAGCAATGCTTGAATTTTTCTGTCGTAACTGGCTTGGTGAACATATCAACGACATTCTCATCAGTATGTACCTTCTGAAACAAAATCTCTCCAGATGCAACCAACTCTTTGATATTGTGAAACCTTACATCAATATGCTTAGATCTAACACGATATACTTGATTCTTAGCCAAGTGAATAGTGCTTTGATTGTCACAAAGCAACTGAACTCCACCTTGCTGAACACCCAACTCCTTCACTAAATAGTAAGCCAAAAACTTCTTTTGCAGCTTAAGCTGCTGCCATGTATTCAGCTTCAGTTGTAGATAGTGCCACAACAGATTAAACAGTAGACTTCCAACAAATGGGCCCTCCACCAAGAGTAAAGACATACCCTGTCGTAGATCTTCTATTATCCAAGTCACCTGCATAGTCTGAATCCATATATCCTACAACGAAAGGATTATCCCGCTAACTACCAAAAACAATTTCATGTCCCACAGTACCCTTTAAGTACCGAAAAATCCACTTGACTGCTTCCCAATGTTGCTTACCAGGATTAGACATGTACTTACAAACTTGACTAACAACATGAGCTAAATCAAGACGAGTACATACCATTGCATACATCAAGAAGTCAACAACATTAGAATACAGATTGCCATATCTTCAGTTTCCTTATTTGTCTTAGGGCACTGTTCTGATGAGAGCTTAAAGTGATTCGCCAATGGAGTGCTAACCAGTTTTGCGCTGCTCATCGCAAACATTTCTAGCATTTTCTCAACATAACCCCGTTGAGATAGCCACAGTTTCCTTGAGTCTCTGTCCCTGCAAATTTCCATTCCAAGAATTTTCTTTGCAGCACCTAAATCTTTCATATCAAATTCCTGAATAAAGTTTTCAAACCGATAACATCATCCATGTTCTTCGCAGCAATTAACATATCATCAGCATACAGTAACAAAAAAATAAAAGAACCATCATCAAGGCTCTTAACATAGACACAACAATCATACTCACATCGCTTGTAGCCAATCTTGATTATATAAGAGTCAAACCGTTTGTACCGTTGTCTCGGAGACTACTTCAACCCATACAAAGATTTCTTCAATCTGCAAACTAAATGCTCATTTCCAAGTTGAGTGAAACCTTCAGGTTGCCGTATGTAGATCCACTCCTCTAAATCACCATGCAAAAAAGCAGTTTTCACATTCATATGCTCTAAATACAAATCCCAACTAGCCACCAATGCAAGTACTGCTCGGATTGAAGTGTGCTTAACCACAGGAGAAAAAATTTCATCATAATCAACTTCTTTCTGCTGTGAAAAACCCTTTGCTACTAAACGAGCCTTGAACTTCTCCCCCTCGTTTTCTGCTAATGTTGGTTTCTTCTTATACACCCATTTGCAACCAATCGGCTTCTTACCCTCAGGAATGTGAACTAAGTCCCATGTACGATTGTGATTCAAAGACTCCATCTCTTCAACCATGGCAGCCATCCACTTGTCGTTTTTCTGACTAGTAACTGCATCATGAAAAGTAATCGGATCATCACAGCTAACAGTAAGTGCAAAAGAGACTAAGTCTTCAAAAACCAATATGTTCGGAGGCTTTATATTCGTCCGTCTCACCCTGTCTCTGGCGAGACTATAATCCTGCAAATTCTTGTATTCTTTTATTTTTCTTTATCCGATTCTTCAACAGTATTTAATTTAATTTTTACATAAAACTTATTGAGTGCCTCACGGTTAAAGAATATGTTATTCTTTCTTTAAGTCTTAAATTCAAGTAGTTATGTTTATAGAATGTGTGCGCGTTGTTAGTGGATGAGTAAAATTATGAATAAATATAATCTTATAATCATCATAAACAATTTAAAAAAATAAATCTTACATTTTTAAATAAAAATATAGTATTTTATTCAATTTTTTTATAGAAAGCTCTCCTACTTTAAGAACATTGTATATAATGTATATTAAATTATATTTAAAAATAAATAAATTAATATTCAGAAATTCAAAAAATATTTTATAATCAAAAAATTATTTTATACATTTAATAAATAAAAGATTCAACAAAGTAACAATGTTTTATATAGTCAATGTACTGTTTGTATACTTTTATCCTTTTAAAAAATACGAATTGTCCACCTCAAACAGTTTAAGGAAGCGGCCAAACTCTTAAGCGCCGACGTACGTTCCCAAATAAGACGGACTCAACGGCCCACGTCACTCTTCGCCCAGATCCAAATCTACAAGCCTCTTCAGATCCACAAAATATCAACACTTCGCCACCAAACCAAATTTATGCTTTCTTTCCTTTGTTTTTCAGCTCAATAGACTTCTCAAAACAACGAACTCTGCAGTCATTTAGAGAACCATAAATATTTATATCGGTTTTGTTTCGAGATAAATGGTCGATTAGATCGTTGTGTTGTTAAACGGCGGAGATTGATTGAATGATGGATGTTGAAAGATCTTCGCTGTGCAATTGCGTGGTGAATTTTCTACTGGAAGAAAATTACTTGTTAACGGCATTTGAATTACTCCACGAGCTTCTCGACGATGGCCGTGATGCTCAAGCTATTCGTCTGAAGGAGTTCTTCTCTGATCCTTCTCATTTTCCTCCTGATCAAATCTCTCGTTACAACTCTCTTCGAGGTGCACTTTTGTTTTAAAAAAATTTGTTTAATTATATGAGTTTGCTTTACATTAGAAAATTAAAGTTAGTAATACATGTAATTACTGAGTGGAAGTTGAATTTGTGGCGGTGCAAGTTAATTTGTTATCTTGGCAGTTGATAGGGGGTAAAGAATTACGGATATTTTTGGTGTTGATTTGTGCTTTATAAATTTAAAGCGGTTGCTCTCACAGCTTAAATCTACCGTATTGCGCTTGTGAATTAAGGTATTTGTACGATCTCACTACGCTATCCTATATGGGAAAGATTGAATGCTTATCCTGAAGATATAGCTAGTCAAAACTTTTGATAGTTAGCAGTTTCATTTTGGACTTGGTATTGAGTTTGTGAATCTTATTGATGGTTTCAGCTAACTTTTATTTCTTTAAATTCAGTTTTAGACCCGCAGAGTTTGCTAGAAGAGAAAGAAACAATTGAAGAAAAACTAGCGCTTAGTGACTATGAACTACGTTTAGCTCTAGAAGACATTGCGAAACTGAAGACCGAGTTACAAAGAAAAGAAGATCTCACACGGGATAAATTGAGTGGTAACGTTTCTTATTTGTCCAATATTCGGATTGATGCACTTAGAATCCATTTGGTTTATGCTTTTGTTATTCTCCCTTTTTCTTTCTTATTTGTATTTTTCTGAAAAGAAAAAAAGAATAGCGAAAACATCAATTCGATGGTTTTTTTTATAGAGAAATTTGTCTCTTTGAATATTACATTTTTAGTATGCTTTTTATTTATGACCGTTTATCTTTGGAGGAGCCAAAATGTTCAAGAACAGCTACCTAAATCAAATATAGGCTCACTATTGGTGAGTTACATGCATTATGAGTAAACAATGAAGCAAATGATTTTTTTTGGCTCCTCTTTCATTCCATGAGTTTGGCCACCTTGCATGACTATGTCCGTGCACAGAATGAAATGTAGTTTTCTCCTAACCGTCCTATATATTCTTACCATTGTTTGGAAATGACACCCCAATTTCTGCATCAGTTCCTTTTAATTGGCAACTGTTTTGCAATATCTGGTGGGCTTTGTAGGATTTCAGGAGGTAAATTGCGCATTGTAGGATTGTTCTATTTGTGCATTCTTTTATCATTAGTTGGCTACCATGCTTCTGGCATGTGTAAATTCCTTTTATGTTGTATGCATATGTAGAATCAAGTGTAAGCAGTACGGTAAATCATGCACCGGAAATACATCGGAAAAAGCAAGATGCTCCCTTTTCTGATTTAGGCCCACTGAAGGCAAATGAGCGTAAAGATCTGAATTGTGCGGTAAAAGAATATTTGCTGATAGCTGGATATCGACTAACTGCAATGACATTTTATGAAGAGGTATGTAGAACAATTGGTAGCATTTTCTCATTGTTACTGCTTGTTAATTCTGTAAATCTGCACCAACTAAGAGTGGAAGGTCTAAACATTTTCTGCAATTGGTTTGGCTGCAAGGCTGGTTTCCCCGAAATCTCTATAATCTGAAAATTGTGGTAGTTTTTAATTATCATTTGCAAACTGCAAAAAGTACAAAATACTTGCCCCATAACATCTTAA